GATGATTCCAGATATTGGTAGCAGCAGGAGCACAGACACAGAAGCCAGATACCCATCTGGCACATTTTCAGAACTGCAACCAGTTCAGCTCAAAGTTTATTCATTCATGTATGTAACAATCAATCAGTGAATGTTTTGAGTTGAAGTTGTGACCACCAGGAAGTAATGGAAAGATAACACACTAAATAAGGAGAGTTTGCAGAAGGTCATAGCAGGAAGAAAGAACACAAATGAATAAAGTTACATGACAACAAGAGTCTAAAGGGTCCTTTGAGAGATAACAGGTGACTTGCCAAAGTGGTATTAGAGGAAGAGCTGAGACAGAAGTCAACCCATTGGTTGAAGAGTGAGCCTGAACCTGAGGGGAGACAGTGGATACTTACTGCACATTAGCAGTTTGTGATGGAAAGGAGTGGGGACAGGATGGCAGCAAGGAAAAAATCTTCAAATGGAGCAGGTTTTTTTTTTTTTTTTTAACCTTAGAGGCAGTAGCTAGCAAAAGTAACGTGGAAAATTCAGTAGAAAGAAATGATAGGATCTGTCCTTGAGACAACTGAAAGAAATGTTGTCGGGCTATCTCCTACCTTCTACGATGCTAGGAAGGAGGTAAGGATAAGTTCAGATGTAGATGAATTTATAGGCATAGAATGGAAAAGTGGGCAAGTACATCTATGGAATAGTTGGCTTTTTCTCAATGACATGGTGGCAGAATCAACTGCTGAGGAGAATGTGAAGCAAGCAGTAGTTGAGGATAGTTGTTGAATGAAGATGACCTGGGAGATAGGCAAACAGTTCTAGAGTACTGATGGCTGAAGGTATAGCTATATAGAGATCAAGAATTTTCAATAGCTTTCGTGTGAAGGAATGTATGGTTCTCTCCAACTTTTTTCACCAGCCTGTCCACGTCTTCAGGAGAGTTAAGAAAAGCTAGTATGAGGTTGCAAGTAAGGAAAATGAGGGCCATTTGACTATAACCCTCTCTGGTTCTCCATTCACCTGAGGCCTCAGGTCTGCAAACAAAATCTGTGCCTACAATTGGGACTGCCAAACACTGTCCTCAAAGGGATTATTGGGTAAGAGAACAGACTGACATCTCCTAAATTGAAGGGTAAAAGTCAAATTGTTAATTAAAACACTTTATCTGGGAATTTCAATGTTCCAGGATTATGGGTAGTAAAATAATATACTAATATTCATCTTTTGATTAAATGATACAGCTTTTGAATTTGATGTATGTCCTTTCTTTCATCTAGAATGAAACAAAGTTAAGGACACACACATTCAGGGCTTTATGTATAATAGATAGGACTAGTAGGATTAAAAACTATGTGACATGTAAAATATTGAAATTATTGGCATTCTACTGATCAAGGGAACTTAAAGCATCTTTTCATTATTAATGTCTTCATTCCCATAGTTACCTTATAGGCTTAGGTTTCTCTCTATAACAAGCCAATAATAGAAAAATGTCTTGATGTCAGAAAGACTTAGGAAAGAATTTTTCTCCTTCCAAGCTAATTTCAGGAATTTGTTTTAGGATAGTGTTTTGAAATTGATGTTGGGTCATTTAAATTGAACCAATGAGCCTTTTCTCCTAAAAATTTAAAATGAGTTCTTTTGTTGATCAAAAGAGAACAGCAACAATAGTACAAAAGTGACCATTGCATCATAGGTTATTACAAAGCAAGGAAAACACCAATTACCTAGAGAGAAAAGTATCACTGGTTATACTTCCCCTGCTCTGGGACCATTTCTTTTCCTGTGAAGTCATTGCTGATGGAGGTTGAGTCTCATAATAGGCAAAAATGCCTGAAGCAATAGAGTAAACTAGTTCTGTTTCCATGCCTAAAACAATGCTATTATCCTATCAAGAAAACATGAGTGAAAAAGATTTTGTAAGTATAGAAGCAGATTTCTTGGAGCGGTCATCTGATTGAGAAGGCCATCATTGGAATTTTAATACTGGATTATAAGCAGAAGTCGCCAGAGCTTAGATATCAGAAAACATTCTACTTTACTAATTATCAAGGGAGCCAGAAGCCAGACTTTACTTTTTTTTTTTTGGCAGTACTGGGATTTGAACTTAGGGCCTCATGCTTGTAATAGGTACTCACCCTACTACTTGAGCCACTTTCCCAGCTCTTAGTTTGTTGCTACAAGCATTTTAGACTGCTGAATGGGAGTGTCAAAAGCTTAACAAGTCCCCCTTTGTGTTAGGTATGGGAATATGAAGTTAATAACACTCACTCTCTGACTTTAGGAGGTCTTCACAATTCTCTAGTTTCTGAAAATAATTTTGAGATATCTAGTCAGTCCCTCAAGTGTGAACAAGCTCAATGTCAACTTACAATATAGAAAGAACATGAAGACCAACTGCACATGCTTTTAAGGAGGTGAGTCATATTCCAAAGTGAATGACTGAGATACATTTTCCTAAGTAAAAATTACCCATAAATACTTCTTTGGGAATTGTGTGGGGGGCCATTTAGGCAGTTTTTCTTCATGATTTCAAGAGTCATCATTCCTTTGGCCAAATACTGAGGTAACACTTAGAAACCATATATTTTGAAAAAAATATAAATAATTTTTCTTGAGACTGGGTTCTCACTATGTAGCCCAGGCTGGCCTTGAACTTGTCATCCTCCTATCTCTATCTCCTGTGTTGGGATTACAGATATGTACTGACACATCTGGCCTAAAAAACTATATCCTTTAAAAATGTATGAACATTTGGAAATATGGTTTGTGGTTTTTAAAAATATTTTATTTTTGAATTGGCATACAATATGAGGTTTCATTGTGATACTTCCATATACATGTGTACAGTGTATTTTGAAGTCTACCCCCTCCACTGTATTTCCATTCTCCCCCTTCTTCCTCCCCCATTTTCACATAGTGTTTGGTGGGTTTCATTATGCTATCTATCTCTATATAAATGTATATATATGAAGCATACTTTGATCTTCTTTACATATCATTATCCTCTCCTTTCCTCCTCCCTCCCACTTATCCACCTCCTAGATAGTCCTCCATGTATATTCATGTCCTGTTAGGTTTTGTGCATTTTAAAGAACATAAATGGAATTAAACCATATTTACTATACATCTTGCTTACTTTCCCCATCCACTCAAGGTGTTTAGGAGGTTATTCAATGTAAGTGCCTAGGGCAAGTTGTATTTTCCAAAAATGGCAAGCAATGTTTCTGGTCCTACCTGGTTTTTGACAACCTTGTCTCTTTCCTATCAAGTGCTAGGTTTCATTTCCCTTTGCCTTGAACTTGGATGCAACTTTATAATGCAGTATAACTGACACTCCATGACTTCTAAGGCTAGGCCAGTAAAGACAATATACTTCTGCCTGACTCTTGGGATACTAATTCAAGGAACTCAGCCTTTATATTGTAAAGATGCTTAAATGAATCTCTTCTAGAAGACCATATACAGATCTATAAGGAATAGATTTAAAGCCTCCAGCCTTTAGCCAAAATCAACAACCAGCCTGTGAGTAAAGTTTCCATCCCTGCTGTGCTGTCTGAATTTCTGACCTACACAATCTGTGAGCAAAATAGATGGCTGTTTTATACTGCTAAATTATGGGAATACTTTTCAAAGAAGCCATAGTAACTAGAAGGGTACCAATACATGTACCCATTTCAATCTTTTAAGCAATAACATAATTAACAGTAATTTATTTAGTCATTCTTTATTTATAAAAAGTTGGCTTGGACAAGGCTGAAATAAACAAGTTCTGTATGCTTATTTGTACACAAATGTCAACATTTCCACAGGACACAAATTTGTAAATGAGTTAATAAATACAAACAAGACAATTAGAACAGTGTCTTGCACATAGTAACAATTTTTATTATCTCTATAGATTGAATGTCTCCATAAAAGCCATAGGACTCTAACTCTTGTGTCTAACATCCATGCTACAGTGTATCTCACTTTTTACAGAGTTTAGATTATGACAGAAAGTTGCAAACATATTCAGTCATAGAAGGAGATATCTGGAAATGTCCATCTTGAGTACACCTGACCAACTCTACAAATGTTTTTTGAAAACCAAATTTGCTCAGTGTGCAAGTGAGTTACATTACCTGCCTGTCTCTCAGCTCAGACCTCCTGAAAAGCCTCAAATTATGGTCAAAAGCAGAAAGAGGCTAGTCACATGCATCAAGTGTGTGCTACAGTTCTACTCCTGCACCGGCTGGGCAGATCACTTGGGAGGATCAGGTCACCTTTTTACCTATCACAATTCCTGCCACAGACCAGGAACGCACTTTTTTGGTCGCTGTCACGCTCTTATACTACCTGTCACCCTTCCCCAGGCGAGTTTGCAGTTGCCCAGCACCTGTTAGTCACGTTTTACTTCCAATTTTCCTGGGGGGGTGTGGGGGAGGTGGGGAGGGAGTGAGAGCGAGGGAGAGGAGGGAGAGAACTGACTAGCTGTTCTCTGGTTTCAAAGGGGTAAAGGGTCTCATCCACATTGCCGGCGCCAGGTTTTCCACACCCAGCCTCCTATTTTCACAGTTTAAAGCTTTAAACTTCCTCTCCTTTTCCATGTGCTTCCCCGATTTGCTCCATTTCTAACCGCTCCTCCCTCCCACGTCCCTGGCCAGGTCAAAAGTTAAACGCTGGGCAGTTGCGAAGAGGTGACTTGTAAATGACCAGGTCCGCCCGCCGGAAGCCGGCGGGATTCGCCATAGCTTCGTGGGGGCGGCAGACTTGGAGCTCCGACCCGGCCCCGCGCGACAAGCCCCGTAGGTTGCTGAGCCCCGAAGCGGAAGAGAGAGGGAGAGAGAGGGTAGGGAGCCCCCCCATGATGCTAAGGCCTTCAGTAACTTCCCCACCCACAGCCTCATCATTAGCACGCGGCCACCCGAGGCCGGCATGGGACACCTTCGTCCCCGCCCCTCCGCAGGTCACCTCCCTCCACGCCCCTTTCCCGCGGCCCCGGCAGCCGGCAGGCAGGGAAGTGTCGTAAAGCCAGGCCCAGGAAACTTTACCCGGGGTAACAGCCGAGGCGCTTTACGGCGGCGGCGACTGGGTGAGATCCTTGGCGGCGGCGGTGGAGGCGGCCGCGGCGGTGAAGGAGGCGGCGGCGGCGGTGGCTGAGGAAGAGGAGTGGCGGCAGCGGCGGGGACCGGTGCGGGGTGAGCCGCCAGGAGGGGACGGGGAGGGGCCGCGGGTGACAGGGTTGGCGAATAGGCCCGGGTGGACGGGGACGGTGGCCGGCTGAGCGACTGGGCGGCGCTGGCGAGCTGGGGGAGGGTGGGGGGAGAGAGGCGGGTGGCGCTGAATTGGGGGGCAGCTCGGTGAGGGAAGGGACGGTTTCTGCCTTTGTTCCCCCCCGCATCCGTCGCCCCCGCTTGCTTCACGCTGGCTGGTCGGGTCTCATGGCCTCCCCTGTCGCTCTGTGTCGCTTGTAGGATGGCGGAGGTACCGCCTGGGCCTAGCAGCCTCCTCCCACCACCAGCACCTCCGGGCCCGGCGGCGGCCGAGCCCCGTTGCCCCTTCCCGGCGGGGGCCGCCGTCGCCTGCTGCAGCGAGGAGGAGGAGGACGACGAGGAGCACGAAGGCGGCGGCAGGAGCCCGGCGAGCGGCGAGGCGACCGCGGCGACCCAGGGGCATCGGTGCCTCCGCTGCCCGCAGCCGTCGCAGGAGCAGCCGCAGCTCAACGGATTGATCAGCCCCGAACTGCGACACCTCCGGGCAGCCGCCTCGCTCAAGAGCAAGGTCCTGAGTGCAGCAGCGGAGGCGGCCGCCGCCACGGCCACCCCCGACGGGGCCCCCAAAGCGACTGCCACAAAAGGAGCCGGGGTACACTCGGGCGAGAGACCCCCTCACCCCCTTCCTAATAATGCAAGGACTGCGCTCTCCAGCCCAGCAGAGGCGGCGGCCAGCGACCCCGCGGCGGCCCGCAATGGACTGGCCGAGGGCACTGAGCCCGAGGAGTTGGAGGAGGAGGAGGAGGACGAGCAGGTGCGGCTGCTGTCTTCGTCCCTGACCGCCGGCTGCAGTTTAAGAAGCCCCTCGGGCAGGGAGGTCGAGCCTGGGGAGGATCGGACGATACGATATGTCCGATATGAATCCGAGCTCCAAATGCCTGATATCATGAGACTGATCACCAAAGATCTGTCTGAACCCTACTCCATTTATACCTATAGATATTTTATCCACAACTGGCCACAGCTGTGCTTCTTGGTAAGTGGATGGAATGGAAAGAGGGTGAGCCCAACAGAGATCCAGGCCACGCAGGGCAGGGAGTGTGAGGGCCCAGAGTGTGGCAGTGGATGGATCCTGCATTTCGTAGCACCTTACGTGATGTGAAGTGCTAAAGTGCGTGTACACAGTCTTAGTTATTTAATGGACCTGTTCGCAAGGTAAGACTTCGTGATCTGGATTAACTTGATACTGATGTAAAGGCAGCAAGCCTGTACGATGTATGTTTCACTGGGCGGGGGGGATCTTGTGTCCTGTTTCCATGAGCTTATAATCATGTTTAACCATTTTTAATTACCCTCCCTCGTTGTCAAAGCAGTTTGCAGTCATTTGATTTGAACATGGTTCTGTTCCGATACAGGCCTTCCTTATTAATCTCTCAATTACAGCCATAGGGAAGAGTGTGTACATAAACATGTTTTGATGAACATGATTGTCAGTAAACTTGCTGTGACCACTTTGGAGAATTAAAACTTACAAACATGTTCAGTAATTATGGAGATTGTTTCCTTTTGCTTCAACAGGACAATTAACAGTTGTAGCCAGCCTGCTTTCTGATGCTCCATTGCGGAAGGTGCTACTAACACCTGGTGGCTGAAAGACTCCTGAAACTTGAACAGAATTCCCCTTTGTGAAATGCAGTAAACTTAAGTGTGAAATTGTTACTAATGTGATTTTTTTTTTTTTCCGTAAGAAACTGGTCAAAGATGTGTTTAAAAACTGGTACCACTGACTTGTGTGGGGGTATAATTAGCAACATTTTTTACTTACATGTAATCCAAAAAGACTTAGCTATTCAATAAGCTGAATATATTTTTTAAACCTACCTTGCTAGTACCTGTACTTTCTTTACAGTAATATTGACCCAACTTCAGTCTGTATGAAACCTTTAACTTAAATACTGACTGCAGGTATATGCTTTGTATCACATACATACAACATACTGTTTTGATTGGATTTTATTAGAGGTGCTTTTAAGGAGTGTTTATGATATGTGAAAAGAAAAGCTACCACTACTAATGTTTTAACATTGACTTAGATGTGTTCAGTAATTTCTTAAAGTATGCTTTGACAGTACTTTAAAAATCATCTTTTTGGTTCTATAGCTTGATGGTAATCTGAAGACAAGAGCCTGAGTATTGTAGATAATGTTAGTTTTGCTGTTTTCTGTGTTAATTTTGCTTACATTTCAATTTAGTACATTTGTTTAAACTGTAGGTACTATTTTATGTTCTAGAAAACTGCTTATTCAGGATTCTTAGCACTGTATCAAAATAGAAGTTCTGAGACGTATCAGTGAATATGGGAAAATGACTTAAAGCACAATTATAAATCATATCAAATGCCATTGTAATTGCTAAAAATTGTAGGTTGATTTAATTTTAAATTAACCCACAAAAGTATATAATTGTGTACCTTTTAAGTTGAAATACGGCTGGTAATGTGGTTCACTGGTAGTGTGCTTGTCTCACATGTGAGGCCCTGGGTTTGAGCTCCAGCACCACAAAAAAAAAAAGGTTTTCTCTCAGTTCCAGAAAGTAGCTGTGTATTTATGGTATTTAGTCAACTTTTAAATCATGCTGTTACCTAGGTCTCTCTCAACTTGTCTGCCATTTTAGACCCTGGTGAACTTAATATTAGTAAACTTTAGTCTTGGTTTTATATAGACCCTTCTCATTTTGCCAGTTAATTTGTACATCAGCCTTCACTAGGCAGAGTTTAACGTTAAATTCTGAATACCTAGAAATGGAAATATCAAAGGTAGTTGGCTTATAAGATTTCTTAGTACAAGTATGAATTTCCAGGTATTGAACAATAAAACAGTAGTTAAATAAGAGAAGCCATTTAAAACTGGGTCCTTTATGTTGACATGCTTTTAGATTTGAATTTCCTTTAAGAATGAATTTCTTTTTAAATGAAAGTTTTATTTTAAAAGGATATCTGAAAGGATCCTAGAGATAATGTAGGCCCAACATTTTTTTTTTCCATGGAAAAAAGAAACACCAGAGTGACTTAAAATGTTAAAAATTCTCCAGCTGTTTAGTGACAGAGAGATAAAGGTAGAACCCAGGCCTCCTGGCCTTTATGATGGTAATAAGTAAGTTCTACAAAAGTGACTTACCCTTACCTTATTTTGTGAAACCCAGTGTGTCACAAAGTTGCCTTCACTAACAGGGCAGTTCTTACAAATGTCAATATCAAAAGATTAGAATACTCTAAAATGTTCCTGGTTTCCATGTGTAACCTGTAATGAGTCAAAGGAATATTTGGGATTAAACATGAAAGTCGGGGCAATACTTGATTGACCAAGAAGTTGACAGTTCCTTATAATTCTTCCTAATTATTGTAACAGATGTGAAAAATAGGGTTCAATATACAGGTGAGGCACTGTGAGTGACTTTGTACTTTTCCTTTTTAGAGTTCATAGTATTTTCAGTTGTCGGTTCCTTTTAGAAGTTATTTAATTTACTACTAGCAATGTAATACAGTACTTTCGTTTATTTATTCTAAATTTAACTTTCTGGCTCCCTCCAGTTTTCTATTTGTAGTGCTCTGGAATTTTGGAATCTGTTTGACACAATTTATATTTTTCATAGTTTTATAGACTGACAAATCTTCAACCTTGTGGGATCAAGTCTTAATTGTGTTAGAGATTTTTCAGTTTTGCTCTTGAAAAAGTACATGAATAGCATGAGTTTCAAAAGTATATACAGAAGCTTTTATTTGGCAAATTCAGCAAGTATCTAGTAATTGTTGTAAATATAAATTTACCAGAAAAAAATGCAGTATTGGTTTTCACTGTCAACATTTTATTAATAACAGTGCATCCTAATATTGGACTTTTATTTTTAGATGATGTGTACAACTTAATATTTTGCTTCGCTAGATTCTTAATTGGGAGAATACTCTAAAACTAATCTAACATTTTGTTTGCTTTTTTACTTATGTTTCAAGAACAAATATTTATTTGAAATTGTCTTAATTTAACAGTATTGTCTAGTTGTGTTTGGTGGTTTTAATTTTTCTTTTTGGCTGGCTTTATAAGCTATAAGGTGTGGCTGGCCTATGGTTTCATATCACAGATTTATATAGATTTTTATATCATATGAACCTAGCTTATGGGATCAGGCCAAAATGTTTTTCTGGCTGTTTAAAATGTACCGTTTGGTCTGTGATGATTATATGTGTGTACATACACATATGTTTATATTTTATATATTTGTATTATACACACACACACATATTTGAAGTAAATTATTTTCAAATCAGAAAATGCTGTCTGGAGGGATGGGAGTTACAGCTCAGTGGTAGAGTGCTTGCCTAGCTGGTACAAGGCCCTGTGTTCAATCCAAACACCACCAAAAAAAGGGGGTAGGGAATGGGGGATGGGAGTTTAGCTCAGTGGTAAAACACATGTTAGAGGTCCTGGGTTTGATCCTCAGAACCAATAAAAACAATTATAGAGATTTACTGACCCAAGATAATTTTGGAATGTGTGATAAAATAGAATTCAACTAGTGTGGTTTGTTTAATAGTCATTCAAAAGGATTTTTCTGACCTAGCTTAGGTTTGTGTAAAATGGATTAGTTATCGTGCCTAAAAAGATTTCTCCATTGTTTATTAAAAGGGTTTTTTTAAATCAACTTACAGACAAAATAAAAAAATGTTAACAAATTCTTAGTTCAAACATGTAGTAGATATTAGTTGGACTCTGCTTATTTTAAAACCCATTCTTGGCTTTTCTTCTTGAAATAGTTGCTTCTGGAAAGTTGCTTTACGTTACTTAATGGTGGAGATATTGGCCCTGTTTATATTTACCAGAAGACAGTATTAGAACTTTTTATTTTTATCAGTGTTGTAATTTTTGAAAAATATTTGCAACAGTGGTACTGGAAATCTTAACTAAAGTAGGGTTATTAGCATTTGTTTAACATGTAGTTTTTAATAGTTTGGAAAGCTGGCATTTTTATTGAACTAGATTTATAAGTCCTACTAATATAAAGGTCTGGTTTTAAGCTGTAGGTAATTTTTTTTTAATTATTTTTTTTTTCAGACATGGTTTCTCTGTGTAACCCAGGGTAGCCTCACTTACAATCCTGCCTTAGCCTCCCAAGTATTAGATACTGATAGTTTTTAGAGCTCAGTGACAGCCACACAGTCAATAGTTTCCTAAAAATGAAACTGTCACATACTTAATTTTTATATTACTTCACTAGCAAAAACTGCTTAAATATGAGTAATAATTTCTAAGCAGTCTTTTTCCTGAAAAAAAAAATGAGTATTTTTCCTGATCAAAAAAAGTTAACTATTTTGTTTTATACCTATCTTTTATTAATGCTTTATTATAAAAACTTGTAATACTTTGCTGATGGGCAAATTGTACAATGTTTTATTGATCCTAATGAATACTTTCTTTTTCTTTAAAGTTATTTTATTCACCTATTCTCTTTCCCAAAACTTAACTAGGTTCTTATTTCAAATAATTATAAACACCTTGTGAAATTTTATAAAGTACTTGAGTGTTTACTTTGTGGGACTCTTGTCTTTTTTCCCCCTAAGCTTTAATAGGCATAAGAAATTGAAATTTTAAAGAATATTGAGAGATTTTTTTAAAAACCATAACAATTGAAGGAGTTCTGGGATTCAGGTTTCTGAAACTTCTGTGATTACTCTTTTGCTGCAGTCCCCATTAACTCTTCCTCTCTCAAAAAATGCTGACCAAAGGTTGGTTGCTGTTTTCCCTTGGTCATTTTGCATTACCTAATGGCATTGTATTCTTCATAACTGTTTGTTTATTTTTAAGGCCATGGTAGGGGAGGAGTGTGTAGGTGCCATCGTTTGCAAGTTGGATATGCACAAAAAGATGTTCCGCAGAGGTTATATAGCCATGTTAGCCGTGGATTCCAAATACAGGAGAAATGGCATTGGTAAGGAAAATATTATTTCACTAAAAGGATGAAAAAAATACTTCATTTTTGTGTTTTGAAACAGAATTTAAATGTAAGGTTGTAGAAATGAATTTGAAGGTAAGGGGAAAAATTGAGGCTTTTATTTTTAAATAATACTGTCAAAAAGTTCTTAAAATGAATTGTTTATTGATGTTTTGTTTGCAAGTATATCTTTTTAACAAGTAGCAGGTGATTGGTTTTCACCTCCAAACATTTTTTTTTTTTTTTAAATCACATTCAAAATGCTTTTCATTATACTAAGTACTGCAAGAAACTGCAGGTTTTAATAGTGTTACAAGGGCACTCGATCCCAGCCCTTAAGAAGCTATCTATCCTTGGTTTAGGTGGACCTCAGTCAAGCCAAAATTATGTAGTAATTGGTACCATTAGTTAGTACTTGTCATTAAACACATTGCGATTTAAGGGAGGCCCATGAGTAGAGAACCGATTACTTACTATTCTCCAAACTCATCTCTTTCTTTGGTCTGTCTACCTTTCCTGGCATGTTTAGTCAATCTTATACTCATGGTTTATAGTGATCGTTAGAATCATCTGGGTGGTTTAAAAGCAAATGTTTAGGTCCCTCCCCTGAGAATCTTGTTCATCCTGTCAGAGGTGGGGCTGAAGCTTGCCCAGTTGACTGTGATTTAAGCCTAGTTAAGAACCACTGTTCTAGTTGATTAGTGTCTAGGACCCACTTTTTTCTTGATAGGTGACCAGGTGGAGAAGCATGTCAAATTCTGGGGTATACTTAAGCTACATAAGTAATCATGGTATTTATTAGAAGTTTTGTAATGTGTAGCTTTTAAAAAAATGAATGTTACTGTCTAGCACTCATATATTAAAGACTATTTAAGATAGTATCCGACATCATGAGAAATCAGTATAAATAGGTTTACTTAATATGTTAAGTTTTTATTTACATTTTTCTTTTTTTTTTTGAGACACTAAGTTGCCCATGCTGGCCTTGAACTACTGGGTTCACGTGATCCTCCTATCTCAGCTGTAGCTGAGACTACAGTCATGTGCCACTGTGCCCAGCCAATTTATAAAGTTTAACTGACTTTTTAAAAAATAGTTATAGCTTCCCATTAAGATTTTTAATGAATTTGGCTTTGTTTATAGACCAACTTTGAGTCTTTGATGTATTGAAAAGAGCTGAGAAGGACTCATGAAAAATGATAGGCAATTATGTGACTAGTTCAAAGGGCAGAAATCAGTGGCTTTAGGGCTGCGTCAAGGCCTTTAGGCATGACTGTGGGTATACAGAGATTTTTAAAATAAAATTGTCTTTCTTAAAATCAGATTTGGCAATTTTTCCCTTCTGATGTATCAGATATATCTTAGCCTAAGCTATGATACATTTTGGTAGATGTTTATAGACATACCCCTGTATCACTGAAAGTACCAGACTTAACAAAATGTTCTAGCTCACTATAAAGCTTGTAGGAGCTGACTCTATCTTGGCCCACTGTGGCACAGCAGTTTTTGTGAGGCTGTCTTGTACCTTGTGTCCAGGGGTTTGGAAGATCCTTGGCAAGTTAGCTCAGGTCATGCATTAAGTTCTGGCCAGCCCACAGCGTTCCTGGGTTTCTCTGTCTATACGATATTTTCTTGCCTTTTTTTCTTTTCCTTTCCTCATACCTTTAGGTAGAATAAAACTGCTTAGACAAAAAAAAGGAATTTATCAGGAAGTAGATCTTTCAGGAGGATCCTTAATATTGCTATGTACGGGTTCTATTGGCTTCTCTGTTCTTATATCTAATTTTTTTTATGTATTTTGAGATGAAGATAGAAGATAGAACCTAACATTTGACATTTCTATGCTTATTATTAGCATAACTTAAGTTCTTTAAGAACCTAATTATATTTTTCCTTCATTAATACTCAGATCTATATTTTAGGTACTAACTTGGTTAAGAAAGCTATATATGCCATGGTTGAAGGTGACTGTGATGAGGTAAGTGTTTCTAAATATTTAGTACCTTTATCCTGAGCAGTATTCTACTGGGTATTTTTAAAAATAAGTACCCTATAATAGTTGTACTGCAGATCTCATTACAAATTTATTACACAAATGCAGCTTGTGGAGAAAATTATTTTCTATTTAAAAGCACAGGAATTTTTACTTAAAGTAAATTTCTTCAAAATGTAAAAGTGAAATCTCAGACGTTTTCAGTAAATAACTGATATTGGTACAAATACAAGTATTATCATATATACATGTATATATGCAGAACATATTTCCAAAAGTGGGACTGTTAGAAGAGACTAATGAGAAGGATAAGAAAAGACTGATAGTGAATCATACTTGAGATACATCACATTTGTGTAGGAACAAGACACAACGAAATACACTGAAACTGTTGAACTATAGGGGGAAAAGTTTGAGGAAGAGTGATAGAGGGAGTTAGACTGCTTAAAGTACAATGTATTTACAGGTAAAATACCAAGGCAGAACCCCACTGAAAACTGAACAGATACTAAACAATGAAGGACAGGAGAGTAAAACACATCGTGTTTAGGAGAGGGCACTAGCATTGGTGGGAGGGTTAAATGAAAAGGGTAAAAGAAGATGAGTACGGTTGATGTACTTCTACACATGGATGAATATGGAACATTGAAACCTGTCAAAGTCATTTTGAGAAGAGAAGTGGGAGAAGAGGGAGAATAATGGAGGGGATGAACCAAACTGAGGTGCAATATATGTACATATGGAAATGTCATGACATGTTCTGTATAACTATCATATACTACTAAAAACGTTTGAAAAATAGAATTACAAATTTTAAAAAAGATTTGCCCCACTTCTGATGAATGGATCAAGAATATGTGGTATCTGTACACAATGAAATTTTATGCAGTCATGAAGAAGAACAAAATGTTATCATTCACTGATAAATGGATGGAATTGGAGAATATCATTCTGAGTGAGGTTAGCCTGGCCCAAAAGACCAAAAATTGTATGTTCTCCCTCATATGCGGACATTAGATCAAGGGCAAACACAACAAGGGGATTGAACTTTGATCACAAGATAAAAGCGAGAGCACACAAAGGAGGTATGAGGATAGGTAAGACACCTAAAAAATTAGCTAGCATTTGTTGCCCTCAACGCAGAGAAACTAAAGCAGATACCTTAAAAGCAACTGAGGCCAATAGAAGAAGGGGACCAGGAACTAGAGAAAAGATTAGATCAAAAAGAATTAACCTAGAAGGTAACACACACGCACAGGAAATTAATGTGAGTCAACTCCCTGTATAGCTATCCTTATCTCAACCAGCAAAAACCCTTGTTCCTTCCTATTATTGCTTATACTCTCTCTTCAACAAAATTAGAGATAAGGGCAAAATAGAGTCTGCTGGGTAGCGAGGGGGTTGGGGGGAGAGAGGGGGGTGGGGTGGGTGGTAAGGGAGGGAGTGGGGGCAGGGGGGAGAAATGACCCAAGCATTGTATGCACATATGAATAATAATAAAAAAAATTTGCTACTAGTTAAGTCATTTAAGGAAGGTATTTCTTTTTACAAACCCAACTGTAATTTGCTTACATGTTGGCCTTATTTTCTCTCTAACACGTTTCTTTTTTTTTTTAACCCACGGGAAAACTGTCCATATGGAAGATATTTCACTCTTGAAAAAAATCTCTTAAGCATTAAATAATGATAAGGTCATCAGACAATGGCTTTTTAAATGTAAATTCTCCGTATATTAACTTAAGAGCATCTTCTTTCTTTAGCTTGTTTATAAGGCCTGAAAGCAGGTATAATTTCTTTATATCCTATAGCACTTTGCTTTATATGTGGTGCATAGTAAATACTGGTGCTGATTAGTGATGTTAACATATACTGTTGAACAGTGTGCAAGAAAACACGTATATTATAGCCATGGTGACCAAGGAAAAACAAGGTTGTACTGAACTAGCAATTTTTGTGAGCAATACAAGTGATAATTGTCCATTTCTGAATGGCAGATGTGTCTTCAGAGTTCTTAAAATACATGAGATTAGGTAATTAGGTAGTTTTTATAGGAGACTGACCTTAGTGTTTTTGCTAACTTTGTTTAAAAGGTTTTTTTGAGTACAAAACTTATACACAGTCATTAAATAGTAATGTATATGTGTATTTTTGTTTACAACATTCCTTCTTCCATCATCTTTATGTTCTTCACTTTTTTTTTTTTTTTTGTGGGACTGGGGTTTGAATTCAGAGCTTCACACTTGCAGTACATCTTGCTCTGGTTATTTTGGAGATGGGAGGGGGTCTCACAAACTCTTTGCCCAGAATGGTCTCAAACCATGATATTCCCAGTCTCAGCCTCCCAAGTATTTAGTATTACAAGCGTGAGCCATCAGCACTCAGCTTGTTCTTCGCCTCTTTATCCTTCTTTCTACGTATAGCAAATATGCATCCTTTCATTTTCTATGCACACCTTTACATAGATGTAGCTTTTTTATATAAGTGAAGTCATTATCCTGCAATAATAATTGCTTCTATTTAACAGTATTTTAACGTATTTCCATATTAAAATGCAAAGATTTGATGCAGAGTATTCTCATGCTTCTGGTTAATCTATATTCTAACAGATCATGCTTAATATTAGGAGAGATCACCTTTAGACATATTTGGTAGCATAATGACCTCATCCTGGGATGTAAAGACACTTAATTTTATTCCTAATGGGTAACTCACAGGTGGCAAAGAGATATATTATTCACAACTTTGAATGTCAGAAAGTAAAAGGTGCAGAAATCTGTCTTTTACGTGGGTGGTAACTAAAATTTGCAGGAGATAAATGGACTGGGTAAAGTTAATGTGTTGAAGTCTGTGGTTGGACCATAGCCACACTAGCTTGGTCAGATCATCAAGGAGAGGTCAGGCTACACAGAAGTTGCTTAATTTGGGGAAGTCTTTGAAGTTGATGGACCATGTTTTGATCTGCTTCTGTTATTAAGTAGAGAATCATTTCCAGTGAACAGGGATGTTACTTGGCTAGGGAGTATTTTGTTGCTGTGGTTAAGCCTTTTATAAGTTATTTTACTCACTACCTGTGAGGCAGACCGTGTACTTTACTAACTGATCAAATGATTAAATGGCATTAACATTTCTTTGAAAATTCTTAAGTATGATAAGGAAATATGACTATTTTATTGTCACAGTTAAATCCCAAATTAGTGATATATTTTAGTATAGAAATGCTTTTCATTGTGGACATGAAACTAATGCTGACTCATTTTTCTGCTTTTTAAAGTAATGAATATTACTTAATTGTAGGTTGAAATGGATATGATAGCTCCATGAACTTTTCCTGTTGGATGCTTTTAAATGGATCGTTCTTGATGCTTGACTATCTCACTTATGAATTAGAGACTTTTCCTTAATTAAAAAAAATTGCATATCTATGTTTCATATTGCTGTATGAAGGACAGAGCTCCTGTTGATACCTTAAAAACCTTTTTTTTTATTTTCAGTACTGGGGTTTAAACTCAGGACTTGCCTCATAAGGCTTTCACTGTTCTTTGATTCAGTTTTAAGTCATACAAGTAACAAACCCTGCTTTCCCTTTTTTTCCTTTTAACTTTTGATAGAAGTGCATTTGTTGCTTTTACTTCCTTATATTACCATTTCATCCCATTGGGTTTGGTCTCTGCTCCCTTACTACTGTGGAACTGCTTTTGTGTTGATGTATTTGCTAGATCCAGTAGCTTCTTGGTTCTTCTTGGCTTATTAAAATAGTTTTCTGTCTTTAAGAGCCAATTCAATACCAAAAGCAATAACAAGTTTTCTTTGATCCTTCTTAGCAGAATCAGTTTTACCTTCCGTGTTGATTCTTTTTTGTGGTAATAGTCATTGAACTCTTTCAGTGTCTGCCTTAACCACCTTGGAAGACATAGATGCCTTCTCTTTTTCTTTCTGGTTTTTTTTTTTTTTTTTTTTTTTTTCTTTTGGCAGTACAGGGGTTTGAATTCAGGGCAAATGCCCTACCATTTGAGCAATGTTCCCCCAACCCCCTTTTGCTTTAGTTATTTTTCAGATTTGGTTTAGTTATTTTTCAGATAGAGAGAGTCTTATGCTTTTGACTGGGGTCAGCTTCCTCCTACTTCTGCCTTCTTCATAGCTGGAATTACAGACATGGTCCACCTGGCTTGTTCTCTGAGATAGGGTCTCCCCTAACTTTTTTTAGGGCCAGGGCTGGCCCTGTACCACCATCCTCCTAGCTCCATCATCAACGTAGTTGGGATTACAGGTATGATCCACTGTACCAAAAAAAAAAAAAACCTTTTTGAATTTTGACTTGTATAATTAGTTGTTTATCTCTGAACTTTCTATAAGCTTTCTGAGAACACTAATTGTTTTTGTTTGTGCATAGTATATATATTTAAAAAACAAAAGGCATCTGCAGGGTTAACCAAGTTGTTAAAATATATTTTGGTTAAATAACATGTGAAAATGGTCTTTGTACATAATTCCTTTTTTTTGGTGGCTCTGGGGTTTGAACTCAGGGCCTCACATTTGCTAGGCAGATGCTCTTATGCTTGAGCCACTCTGCCAGCCCCATAATTCATTTTTCTGAGGAAAACTTTGAAATTACAATTCTGTAAGAATATAGTGATCAATTCTAAAACATTGTGCATATGATTTTACTGTCATTAAACTTTCTTTTAAAGGTCAAGAAATGTTGCAATTATGAGAAATAACATTTTTTTGTGTGGTGCCAGGGCTTTGTACATACTAGACAACAAGTCTCTACCACTGAACTGTAGACCCAGCCCTAAGAAGGGCTTAAAAGTTACATTTTCACCAGTTAGATTCTGTTGCTATTTTTAAAAATTCTCATGAAGATAGAGTTTGAAAAAATCTGTGAATAAGTTAACAGAGATACCTGGTTTTTACTTTCTATTCTGTTTGCAGAATTTGTGACTTTGAGTCATGTTTATATAACTCTTGATTGCTACTTGTCATTT